AATAGCAAAAGAATAACACTCCACAAGAGCAAACCACTTAGTCCAGCTAAAAAACTTTAGAACACTGCTTCTGCATAAACACTTTCTTTACAAAGAAAGTGATAAACTGATTACAAGGCCACAACCTGTGCCTTTCTAATATCAAGTGAAAATCTTCTGCATGAAAAATTTTGTCTTGAACCTGCCATGAAAGGTTTGTTGCCCATTCATTGGTGGGAAGCAGTGCATCTTGTAGGATATTTCTCCTTCATCAATCCAAGGGAGGAGGCTTTTAGGTAAATACTAGTTAGCTTGCTTCCAGTAGCCAATTCTTCATTTGCAGTCATCTTCATCTGGAAAATGTTCTTTTGCTTTATACCAGGGTTCTTATGGTAGGGAGGATCTGCCAAATGCCTCCCTCTTCACAGGGGGTACTATCATGCTCTTCTGGATGGTTTTGTGAATTCTTTCTGGTTAGCTGAGCTGGCTTATTTGTGCTCTTTTTAGTTTGTCATTCCAGTCTTGCTTGCACTATTCTTGCTAACAGATTCAAACCTGGATGGAATAAGCTGCCTCTTTGTCCAGAGCCCTATTTGGTGTCATAATATGGAAAGGCATGGAATACGACTTGTCTATAGTGCACAAAGAATAAGAAGTAAAGGGAATAGTGCCAAACTCCAGATGATGTTCAGTTATAGCTAATTATGAATGAAAGTGGTCGCTTTAAAGTGTAATAAGCAGCACACTGATTATTTGTTGGGGGAACAGAAAGTTACTGAAGTGGTCGGTCAAAATTCTGTAGTTGGTTTCAGCTGCAGAAGGGTTCTAGCCCTGATTTGAGGTGCATGCTGCTTTCAGATATTGTGAACCTTCTCAAGATTAGAAGTGAGGTGAAATCAAAATCTTATTTTTAGCTCTCAGGGATGCTCATGGCTTAACACTTACGTCAAGGTTAGATAGATTTTTTTCAAACATCTGCTTGGAATATCTCTTCTCAAATACAAGAAAAGCCCTTTGCACTTTGTCAGTTCTGCCTGTCCTCTGTGAAGCTGCAGCCTTTTTGTAGTTCATAAAGTAGCTGTGAAGAGGTAGCTAAGTAGTAGCATATGTGTATGTATATATGTGCATTTTTCTTTATACTTAAAACCTGAACAAATACCTGAAGGAATAAGATATTATCAGCCAATCAAGATAAAAGTAGAATTTAGGGTATATTTGTTTAATGCATGGCAAACAATGTCATTGAGAAGGCTTCAGGTAAGGTAAGGGAGAACAAAAAGCACATGGGAGAGAGGTGGGGGGGGGAAGAAGCTGATGGATGTCACGTTTCCAAAGCTGGGTTCTACTCAGAAATATGTGTCACTGTGGAGCTGATCGCTGCAAAACTGTGGGGGGAAGCCGTGATCAGAGGGATGCTTTGCCTTGTGTGCCATTTCTCTGTAAATTAGCTTTGCATTCCTATTTCCGATTGTTGCTAAAATAAGTTATGTGTAAGGTGAACTGGTTTTGAACTTACGGGATTGTGAAACCTCAAGCGAGCTTTTTTTCCCCCAACCCTTTCCATTGGCTTCAGAGATAAATTCATATTGTAGGATATTTTGTCATCTTTATTGCAGAAGCATAGAGTTCATTCTGGACGCAAATTTCAGGTTGAAAAAATGTACCTGGGACTGTCATAATAGTCCTCAGTGAAAAGGCAAATAGGCTATTAATGGTACACAAGTTATCTGTCAGCAAATAAAGAACTGAATACATATGAAGAAAAACCAAATGCTAATAACAAGGTGTAATACAGTTACAGTTGGGAAGCAGAGAGAGATCAAAAGGTTTCTGGTTTTCAGACCTCTCTGTGAACTTCTACTGTACAATCCTAGAAACCAAACCAATCCTAGATGTTTATTATTATTATTATTATTTATTCTAGATTAGCTTTGCTTAGAAATTATAGTGAGACGCTGATCTCAGCACATTAATCTTACATTTCTGGAGTCTGCTTAAGGTTCTGGTCCTTGAAAAGATTCTGTTAGTTTGTGGGGCACACAATCCCTTAATTCAGCCCTGTATGTTGGTCTGATGGAAGCATGTACCACAGGCTGATCTTATTGGTTCACTCTCACTATTTAGTCTATTAAAAGTATTTGCCCTGTAAGAAATGAATGGGAACATTTCCCCTGAGCTCAGACTGTTTCAAAGACACTTTGTTCGGATCATTTGCCGCTTTGGTGAGCGCTGTTTTCAAAATCGGAAGTGTCAGCAAGTATTTCCTTATTAAATGATGCCTCTCTTTAGTAATTTTTCATTTCTTTTTTTAAAGATGTACAGTAGGAAAACAGATGACCAAAACTGATCTGTACTGAAAGCAAGACTCTACACTGCATGCTGACTGGGGGGAAAATGCACTTGCTGGCTTGCTAAAATGAGATAATAGTTTGGATGTTGACAGACAAAAACAATTAGAGCTGTTGGATGCTTTGCTGACGTGCGCATTGTCACATGGAGAGATGGCTTGGTTGGTGCCAGTAAATCTGAACTGTTCAACTCTCAGCAAGATATTAAGTTAATTAATAAAATTCCTTATGTCTGTGCTTGGAATGTGAGGTCTGTTTATTTGTGACGACAGCTTGTCCAGGAACAAACAACGGAGGTCACTGATGGGGCCCATTAGGTGTTTGCTCAGACTCTGTGCTATTACAGGCTAGTAAAAGACTTTCTTCTGCTTTATTTCTTGGTACATTAAAACAGTGTTACGTGACTGAAGTGTTTCTGTATTTGTACACTTGTGCGGATAATAGTTTTCTTTAAAGTATTTAATTAAACATGGGAAAATGTTTTATTAAAACTCTTTGACCTCTTTGGGTTTTTAGGTGCTTACTCATGTTTCAGAAGGCTCAATTTCTCTATACACTGTATTCTTAAAGCCTGTCACTTTTTTCTTGATTAATTATACAAGCACATTGAAGTCTGGTTTTACATATACGTTTGAGCTTACTTATGTTTCTTTTGTTTTCTAAATGGGTATGTTTGGACATGGAGTTTGGGCTGTGTGTGCTGAACTGACTTCACAGCAGCCTTGCTTAGTGCTCCTCCACTAAAGCTTGTTCTTTCCATGTGGTGTGACCCCTCTGGCTCCAATGGACTTTGAGGTGTTCTGCTGCTGAGTGCCACAGCTTGCCAGGGACAGATCTGTGTTTCTTCTGGATCATGTGTCAATATTTGTCAGCTGCTGAATGAAGCATTTGGTTGTAGAAGGGAAATAATCTTTTCACTCTAGCTTGAGGGCAGCGCTGATACATCCTTTTGATGCAAAAAAGAGATGTTCACTTCACCAGCAGGAAGCAGCTCTGATTAGACTGTAAACATGAACTATACTAAGGATTTGCTTAGGTTTTCCTCCTCCATTTCTGCCTTCATGTGCAGAATCTGCTAAATCCATCAGGATCATCAGGTTCCATGTTTCTTGTGTAACCCTACCCTGCTTGCCTTTACGAATCTCCACTAAATGCTTTCAGATTTCTTTTACTTTATTCCTGTGTTATCCATTTTTCTTGTACTTAATTTTTAAAAAGTATTGTCTTTAGTTTTATAATTTTATCCAAATTGGATTACTTGAATACGTGAGCTGCTTTTAACTTATTGTCATCATTTATTTTTCCTCTTATCTGCTTAAATAACTCTGCTATCTCATTAGAGGCCTGTTTTGTTTGGTGGGTTTTCTTGTTGTTTCTTTTAATTTAAGGAGTAATCATTATTGGTGGTTTGTTTCAGTTTGGGGGGGATGGTGTTATATTTCTAAGAAGACGATTCTTGGGAGGTTATACTTTGAAATATTTGAAATTCAGCATCTCAGCAGTTCCGGTCAGAAATGAACTTTTGTGAGCCATGATGCCAGTGGATCTGCTTATGCAGAAGAAAAACAGCTCTTGGAAAAGCTGAGCTCACAGCAAACCCACTGGCGTTCACATCAGTAATTAATCTAGAAGCTAGCATTAGATGAACCTTGATTAGGTAAACTTGACTGTTGGTAACAAGACAGCAGAGGGCATATGGCTGCTTGCTATGTCCTAATCTAGCTCTCTAGGTTTGTAACTTTACTTCTGTGCTTGAAAGTTTTTCTGGCATTCCAGTGCAGGAGACTTTCGGACTCATGGATTTCTTTGTATCAGAAAAAACAACCCTCTGACCTTCCCCCCCCAGCCCCCATTTACAAACTTGAGGAATTTTTCTATTTTAAAGTTAAACTGGGAGCTGGCACACCGTATTAGCTGCTATGACTGCTGTTATTTCAGCAAAGGCCATAGAACTAAAAAGCAAGAACCGACTAGACTAGATGGTATGGCTTGTTTTATTTAGTATCATTGCACTGCCTGTGGAAGAACCTCAGATAACATTAGTCAGTGTGTCTCCTTACAGAACCAGCACAGTTTCAGCAGGGTTAAACCGCCTCTGCAACACTTCGCCTGATGCATCTCCATGTTTTAGAGAAAGAGAAGCAATCTGCCTGATTGCTTTACTTTCTGGCCTTTCCAGCTTTTAGACTAAATGCATATTGGGACTAGGAGCCTTCAGCTGCTCCTGTATGCAGAGCAAGGTTGGACTGTAATTGAAAATGTTTCCCCCTTGGTTTTTTTTTGTGCCACCACCTGCTAGAAATTACTGAACAAACACTGAAAGCATCTATAACCAGTCCCTTGAGACATCAAGGCAGTATATAAAGAAAGAGGGGTACCTATTGCTGGAAACTGTTATGAGTTTACTCTGGAATTGTTTATTTAATGCTATTTCTTTTGGTGCTCTTTTTGTAATAACTTTTAGTATTTTAGGAAATAAACTGTAATGGAACTTCTGGTATGTCTACAGAATGGCTAAACATTGCTAAAGCATGGGATGGTTGATTGGTGGTAGTATTTTTAAAGAAAGGAGGCTGTGTTGCTTCTTCTGTCCAATAAATGTTAAGGTGAATTTGTTAACTTTTAAAGCTGGTAATGCCTCACTATAAACACCCGGATCTTTGTCTCTTGTAGCTGCTGAGAGAAGTCTGCTGCATTATCTCTGGTACAGCTGCAACTATGACTTGACTTATTTGCATTCATGGCTCTTGGATGATCTAGTGAACCATGGAGCTCAAAGTATGGGTGGATGGAGTCCAGAGAATTGTGTGTGGGGTCACTGAAGTCACAACATGCCAGGAAGTTGTAATAGCCCTTGCTCAGGCTATCGGTAAGTAGCTGTCAGGTGGGCGGCTGGGAACGGGGGTGGGAAGCTTGTTTTATGAAGCCAAACCAACGGAAGGTGGGATTGCACTGAATATCAGTAGAGCATGAGATAACCTTGCAGTGTAAACTTGCAGCATTTGATTTTCAACCTGACAAAGATTAAAAAGGAAGAAAAGAAACACTGTGAAATCTACTTTCATTTAGTAAAGTTTCATTTAGTACAGATTTATTCTGTAGATAATAATGTGCTGTCATTTGTCATTGTATATACTGCCTGTACTGCAGGAGAAGCTAAACTGTCAATGTTTTGAGTACCGAAGTAGTATAAAAGCAGTGTAAAATAATAGCTAAAAAAAAAATTGCTTTTCACAAGCTAATGATGTTCATTGAAATTGTACACATTGTAGATATATTGGGAACAGCATAAATCAATTAAATAGATTGTTCAAGTTCTCCTCTTACTCCTTAACATCACAGAACTCGGTGCTAATGAAAGAGTAACTTGAAGTCTGCTCAGTGTTAGCTATTTGTTGAACACTTTAGTGGGGAAAAATAACCTGATGAAATTTAAAGATCTTTATGGCTCCTTCAGGCTTGTCAGATCTTTCTCAGTGACTGAGAGCATCCTGAATAAGCCTCAGCTTCGTTCCTTCAGTGCTTGATATGCTGAATTTTATTATTTGCTAAAATGTTACAATTGACTTCACATACTATTCAAATTTACATGTTAAAACATATGTCTTTCCTAAAAGTAAATTGGTAAATTAAGGGCTTGCTTTTGCAGTTTTCACTATTGCAACGATTTTGCAAGATTGTGTTAGCAGTCTAACTCAATTGCAAGATAATGATTTTTCTAATAAAAACCAACCTGGGGCCATGAATGTCAACTAGATATTGTACCTGTAAGCATGAAGTCTGTTTCTCTCACTTTGTGATGCTTATTTAAGTGTGCGCTTCTGAACATTATTTCCATATACTTTCATCTGATGGAGTAGAAAACCGGCACTTTTTTGGTTTGTATCTTCAGGGGATGGAGCATAATGCTAGCATGTGTACTCTATCTATGCCCATCAAATACCTTTTAAAGTTTCATTTAAAGGAAGTCACTATGTCTCAAATCTTGTATTTGATAGTTAACCGATAAGTATGCTTTTACTGTTTGTGTTAGCTACAGCTTTTCATTTAATGCTAATTAGTTTATGAATTGCTTGCTTCCATATCTCATTTTCTGCCTGTAGGACCTTCAAGGCACAATTATGGTATCATGATTAGTTCCTAGTACTGATTAAGAAATGTTACATAAAGAAACTAAACTGGTTGTGGTCGACTTCTGGTTTTTACTTTGTTTTCAATCTCTTTCATCTTATTTCCTTTGCCTCCTCCCACAAAACAAAAAAATGCTAAGCTCCAAGTTCTAGACAGTAATGTAATATTCTTCTGTGTAACTTCTCTTTGTTTTTAATGTGTCCTCATTTATTATCCTCAGCTCTGAAAAGACTCCATCAGCCTTGGAAATGCTCACAGTTTTTCTCAACTCATCAGACTTCCTTTTCTGTAACACGTCACCAGTTATCTGAGGCATGTGACTGGTTCCACATGGAGATACATTTCAGTTGCAACTAGAGCCAAATTAAGATAACTTTGGAAACTCCTTCCTAAGGGAAATACCTCTTTAGAAAACACCTCTGCTAATGGTGCTCCAGTTTCTTACTGGGGCAGCTAGGACAGTATGAAACACTATATAAATAACACTTGCATGTCTGGCAGATAGGACTTTCCAAACCCTTCTGTCAGGTTATTAATCAGAAAAGCAACCATATGTCTGCTCCTTTGATTTGGCTATAGGTACCAGCTTACCAAGAATAATTGTCACTAGAATTTGAATGGGAATCTATTAAAATGTATCCCTGTAGCTCTTACCTGACATTTGGTGGTGGAAAGGAGCCAGTCTGAGTTGGCTTCCTCCTCAGTTGGCTCTGATCTTATTTTCCACTTTGCAGTCTGGCTCCTTCAGCAGTCGCATAGCTTAGCGGGACTCAGTATTATTTTGTCTGTCTGTTGGTCTGTCTGTAAAGTTTTTGAGATGCTCCTTTTGTTTTACCATGTCTCTCAGTTTATTGCTAGATCTTTGACTTAAAAATTACAGCACACACATACAGGGTGGTCGTCTTCACTGAGCCTGAAATATGAACGGCAATAGGTATATTACTTGTGTTGAAGTGCAGTGTCTGGAATATCTGCAAATTAATGTATTTTACAGCTGTATCCACTGAGGAAAGCACAAGCCAAAGACACTTGGAATAAGACATCCGTGGTTCAAGAAGCTTCTCACAGATAAACTGAAGCTGCCTTTATTCTAGAGCTGTGAATAGTAAAGCTTTACAATGTATTTCAGAAATAGGAAAATCAAATGTTTATCGAATGGGCTGTGGTTGGAAGGCACCTCTGAACATCATCTAGTCCAACTCTGCTGCTTAAAGCAGGGTCAGCTAGAGAGTGTTGCTCAGGGCCAAATGTGGTCAGGGTTTGAATATAGCCAGGCATGGAGAGTCCACTACCTCTGTGGGCCATCTGTTCCAGTGTTCAGCCACCTTCACATTAAGAGTGGTTTTTCTTTACGCTTAAACGGAATCTCTTGTATTTCAAGAAATTTGCTGTCAATTGATCAAACGCAGTGCCATGTCTCCTGATTTCCCACTGTGATAAGAGCAACAAAATGGTTTCCATCTATGTACTTTCCAGCTTTTTTTTTCTTTTTTAATGCAGAGATGGGAACTTATGTTCTAGGGCCGTGTTAGCCAAGCAAAAATAGCAAGTCATGCTGGGCTGCACCCCTTTTGTATGAGGTTCTGCTTCATACCCAAAGTATAGTCTAATCCTTCGGCAACGGAAGTTCTGTCACTTTAACTTGCCTGGCTAATGCTCCTTAACCTATTCCTTACAGACAGTGTCTGCCACCATTACACTTCCAGTGGAAAGGCCTGCTTGTCTTTCTTCCTTTGGAGCTGTACACCTGATGGGTAACATCTGTGTTACCTGTTCTTGCACTTGGGTCTCCTTTTCCTGTTTCCCATCTCTTGATCATTTTACAGAAAGGAAATAATTTCACTCCAGGTTTATGTAAAAATTAGCGGGTTTTTTAATTGCCATTTGGCTTGAAGTTAAAGGTTTTCAATTAAATCTTAAATAAACTTTATTCATTAAAACAAAAAAGGAGGCTTGTCTCCTTTGGCTATCCCAACAAATCTTACTTTAAAAATACATGCATATAATTAAAAAATTTGAGAGAGAATAATATCAATTGAATATAACTTTGGATACTGTAACTGATTGTGTCTAAATTAGAAAAGCCTTAACTGGAGGGAATGTCCCTGAAATTCTTCTCAAGACAGACATAAAACTACCCAGTTAAAGGTTTCGAAAGAGTGACGTCGCCTCCCACTGGGGTCTTGGAGAACACTTGATACTACCTTTTATGAGTTTTAGCCAGGGCTGACTTTTAAAAACAAACAAACAAACAAAAACCCACCCTCAGGCTGTTCACATATTACAAAATGTAAGATTTGGCCTTAAAATACAAATAAGAAAAGTGCTCATTTCATCATGGGAAACAGTCCTCACCAAAAAGTAAAAATATACCACAGCCTACAATTTAAATGGAGAGCCATGAGTCTTGTTTTAAAACCATTTTTGCCAGGAGAGATAAGCTAGATTTTATCATATCCATTATTGTCTATTTAAAAAATGTACATTTGGCAGCAAATTCTGCCTGTTCTTCTGTGTCACCTAGCTTCTCTGTGCATTATGTGAAAATCATGCCAGAATGGCTTCATACAAACATTGCTTGCTTATTTGGATTTCTCTTCTTAATCTGGGCAACTTGAAAAACAAGTAAAACAAAAGGTATTGATACTTTTCAACTGTGTACATGGTGAGATGGTTGGTGAATCCATAGTCTGTTTTGCTAAGTAGTATATGGGCTTATAGAATCACAGAATGGTTTGGGTTAGAAGGAGCCTTAAAGCTCATCCAGTTCCAACCTCCCTGCCTCCGGCAGGGGCATCTTCCCCTAGACCAGGTTGCTCAAAGCCCCATCCAACCTGGCCTGGAACACTGCCAGGGATGGGGCAGCCACAGCTTCTCTGGGCAACCTGTGCCAGTGCCTCACCACCCACATGGTGAAGTATTTCTTCTGTTGTAGTCAAGTGTGTGTGAGCATAGTGGCTCCTCTCAAAAAATCATTGTAATACTGAGGGGGAAAACCAGACAGTATCCTAGAAGAAGGTGAGTTCATTGCGTTAGCAGATAGTTGAGGCAAATAAAGTTTATAGCTTGTTAGGGGATTTTTTTTAATTTGCTTTTACTGATTGTTTTCCATTCAAATCTAAAAAAAAAATTAAAAAAAAAAAATCTTCCAAAGGGATATGGTGATGAATAGCACGCTTACAAACACACTTTCCCTGTTTCTTCAGAAGTGTTTTTCTCCTAGTTCCAGTCCCTGTGAGGATTTTTACTGCTCCTGTTGCGATTTCTTTTTCCCTCTGGAGACTAGAGTATGCCTTCTATTCTCAGAATGACATGGTTGTTTCCTAGAAAGAGAATATTCCAGTCTACAGATGTGAAGCTTGAATTTCTTACCAAAGTGCACTTTTGCATTCTGCCCTCCCCTTAGTTTTCTGTGGCAAATAATTAAAATGGCAGACTTGCTTTAAATAGTGCTGTGGATTTTGGTTTTCTGGGTGTAGCACAGTATCAGGAGAATATGAGCAACACTTCACTGAACAAGCAGTACAGCTGTCTCTTTTTAAAATTAAACAAATGCAGCTGTCAGGTTTTTTTTTATTGCAGTTGAGTATTTTTCCTCAAAGATAAATGGGGTGTATTTATGAAAATAAAGCACAGATTTGTTCATGCTTTTTCAGACATGCAGTACGGCATTGTGAGGCTCAGCCAGAGTTGTATCTGGAAAAATCACACCACTTTATTGATGTCTCCTCTTATGTT